GACAGAGTGGTAGCCGACAGTCCCAAGGGGTCCAGTAAGTAGACAGGCGAGATTTAGGTGGCGACTGCACGTAAGAACGGAAGATGTACAGGATATTTTCAGGATTTCGTGCCGGAGCTCTCTCAGACACGTCCGCTCACATGAGTCTCCAGGCCACGCCCCCCTCTTTCTTTCTTTTTTAACACATAAGCCCACCTTTACACCCCAAACAAACAAGAAAAAAAATCAAGTATCATGTGAAATGAAAAAAAGTGTGTATATCTAAACCCAAGACTGAAAATTTAATATATTGCAGCTTAGGAGTCCTTAGATGTGATGACTCCATTAATTTTCTGTTATTACAGGTAAACTCTAATGACTACCAGACACTATTCTGTATAGTTTCATTTCTAAAAAGCTTCATATGGATGGATGTTTTTATTTTTGCAGTCTGTGTTGGGTACAAAGTAATAATTTATGAAGTTAAATTGTTTCTTTTTGTCAGACATAGTTCAGTATTATTTGTGTGCAGTATAACGAACAAGACAGACCTTTCGTATTTCAAAGTATACATTCATTTAGCATACATTATGATAATTCGGTTAGACATTTTTATTTTGATGTCTCCTTATATTAAGGTTTGGGAAGCACATCTCTGTATCTGAAGAGTGGGAACCCGCTGAAAGTAAGGGAGTTGTTAGAAGATTTTAAAAAGGACGCACGGAGCATTAAGCTAAAAGTCGGAGAACATCAACTGGAAGACGTGACGGATGTGCTGAAATATTTTTTGTATGAAATAGACGATGCACTTCTGACAAAAGAACTTTATCCATATTGGATCTCTGCCCTAGGTAATGACACTGTGTTCCAGAAATAGCTGTTTCATTATTCATTTGAACGAATGCATCTACTAAGTAAAAGATGTTTATTTAAGTGAAAGATTTTTGCTTAAACTCCCCTGAGACTCCAGGCACAATGCTATTAGAGCAAACTTCCTATGCTATAAAATTAGAATGAGGCATCCTGCTGTTAGTGCATATAGTACCTTGAACCTACCATTTTACTGAGAGCTGATAATGTAAGCAACATATGTCATCAGATACAAACTGTTACATTAGGCACCTCCATTTCCCCTTGTTATGTTTTTAAAGATCTGTACCGTTTCATTGGCATCTCTCCACATGCTGATGATCCTGTATACTTTTCTCATACTTGCTATCTTAAACAGAACACAAATTCAGAAGCTGCTAAAATGTTCCATGCAGAACCTGCCCACAGGCATATTAGACCTGCCTAAATGCTGGCTACGGGCCATTGCTGAGAGGGGATATTGTGTGGTTGTGGTTCTATATACATATTATAACATAACCCCTTACTGACTATCCAGCATCCCTAGACCAAAACAAGCAGTTAACCCACTGCAAGGCTTAGTAATATTTTGTTCCTAGAGTCCTGCTTTAAAAGAGAAATATATATATATTTATATA